CTGGAGACTTGCAATGCAGACTTGCTGTAATTGTGCAACAAAATTGTGAAGCTTGGCAAGTCTGTAATAGTTTAGCAAGTCATTTCCAAACTTGCAGCTCAATTGCTTGCTATCTGGGATGTACACTACGTTAAAAAATCAGTTTGAAACTCATTCCTTTTTGACACGTGATGCTTTAATAAAAGTGCTTATGCTCCTTGCACATTACAATTGAGTGCTGGTGACTTCTATCTTCGAGTGAAACTCATTCCTAAATGCACCTGAACTCATGTAACGCTTTTCTGTAACTGACTGCACACCTAGGCATTCAGCAGCGACTAGGTTCAGTCAACCTAAAAGCGTTACCCCAAACTAGAAATTTCTACGTCCTAGGTTTGGTTAGCCTGGTTTTACGCAGCTAAGCCCATAAACGCATGTAAACGTGACAAAACCCAGCAACAAGACACAGAAAAATGTAGTCTGGGAAGCATGACGTTGTTTAAACTTCTGTGTTTAAACGCAACCGGCTAGTATGCATGAGGCCTAAACAGAAAGACTGATAAACACTGACCAGTGAACAGTCTCAGAACAAGTGTCCCAAATGTGGGGGGTGAGAAGAGGAGGAGGAGACTCATCTATTATAACAGATAGTAGTAGCCGGAATGCAAGGTAATGTCATATGAATGGGAGACTTTAAATTATCCTGAAATAGATTGGACACATGAAACAGCATATTCAGGAAGGGCCTGTCACTTCTTGAACACTCTACGGGATAATTTTATGGAACAATTGGTGGAAACCCCAATGAGGGAAAATGCTCTGTTAGATTTAATAAAGGAGAACTATGGGGTTGGTGAATCCATCTCCCTTTACTTCCTGGAACTCTGGCACATATGACTAGGACATGTGACCATGCACATCCTCTCTGGGGAGGAAAATGCCTTTCCCTGAGATCTTGCGAGATTACAGATGAGATTTCCCAGCGATGCTCTGCTGATGTAACCTTCCCAGGATGCAATGCTTGGGTACTGCCTAAGAGGACCAGGAAGTGGAAAATCAATAATGGTAATTAAAAGAAAACTATATATTTGTTCAACTAATGAATGTAAGATTTCATATCAGCATGCAGAGAGGTACACTGATGTGATTTTTATTGAAAGGTGTTAAAGGTCTTCTTTAAAGTCACATTCTTTAAATTATGCCTCTTGATCCAATTATCTTCTTCCTGTAGTTTTCAGGGGTCCCTCCAGCGCTGGTGCCAGTCTCTGATCCAGCGATGCCTGCTGTGTCCCACGGTGTGTCTGCGTGCATGGACTTACACTGCGTCTCTTCTCCTGGTCGAAGATCTCTCCTGCCCCATGATCCTTCATGGCTGCTCAATAATCTTCAGAACTTCAGACGGGAGAGAGCAGCGGAGAGACAGGTAAGTTTTTACCTATTTGGTAACTATTTATGTTTTTTGATAGATCTACTGCTTGCTAGCAGTAGATATATGCAAAAAAAAAAAAGCACAGAAGGTTTATTTGTAAAAAATAAGTCAACGCAACTGGACTTGCTGTATTTTTTTTGCCTTGACTTATTTGTTACAAATATACCATGACCTGGATGAATGAGAACCTTCACAGATACAGAAGGTTTATTTCTACTTTCAGTACACTACTTATGGCTGTGGCCGGAAAAGTATGAATGGTATCTACAAATAAAAAATATCATGGCTTGTTTATTTATTGTGCTGGAGCCATTAAAAAAAGCTGGGGGCTGTCATGAACCAGAGCAAGGGTGCACGTTTTGTGAACCTCTGAATTTTGCTTATGGAACCATGAGAAACAGGCAGAGCATTTCTATCTTTCTAGCAAACTTTGCTCCTCTGGCAGTGGCATAGCAGAAGTGTGTCCTCCTTCCATCCTCCTCCACACTGTCATGTGAACTTACATTGGTTGCAGGTACTGAATACCAAAGTGACACTAAACTCAGGAGCTAAATCTTCAAGTACCTCAAGTATCAACAAAAATGTATCTTATTTGTGTATCACCCGGCTGTAGATCCTCAAATCATCTCTGAATTGGTGCTGACACTGTCCTTCCTTCTGGAGGGTGACTACTTTTGTTCCTCATGTTGAGTGTACTAATTTGTATTTTTAGTCCATCTTGGGAGTGAGCTTGGAGTGATGACTACTTTACAACACACACAGGGACCATGGGGAACAAAGGTAGTCACCCTCCAGAAGGAAGGACAATGTCAGCACCAATTCAGAGATGTGAGGATCTACAGCCCAGTGATACATAAATAAGATAATCTCTCTCCAACCAGCCGCAGGAAACCGAAGTCCATAAAACTCCCAACTTTATTGTTGTAAATCCCACGCAAAGTTCAAAATAAAAAAAAGGTATACACCGCCATAATATCTCTCCCACTCCAACGCTCTCACGCGTTTCACCACTTGGGCATAACCCTAGAGGTCACAAGATACATTTGTTAATAGTTGGGGTACTTGAATGTATTGTTAAGATGTAACTCCTGTTTAGTGTCACTTTAATCCATGCATGTCCTGCTGGCAGTGACCCCCAGTGGACACCAGCTAACCAGACTTCTCCTGTGGGCTTCTTACATGTCTGAGGCTTTAGCCCAGTGGAAAGCTATTCCTTTTGGTGGGTATTGTTACACAATCGGGAAAAGATCTACAAATCAACCCCTAGACATGAATGGAGCATTAGGCGCAAAATCACGCCTTCCTTCCTTCCCGTCTTGAATTGTATTGATTGTAATGTCCTCCTTATAGTGTACAGCAGGGGTGCCCATTAGGTAGATTGTGATCTACCAGTAGCTCTGAAAGCTGATGCTGGTAGATCAGGAAGGGTGTGAATGGCGGCCCCTTTATTCCATTTTGGTATATTTATTTAGCTGTGCACACATGATTACCTTAGCCTGAGTGTGCTGAGCCAAGCTCCCTGACACCTCTCTGGTGGATTACATCAAAGAATATTAGTTTACACAGCCTGTTGCAAAATACAACAAGGTGAGCGGGGAGAGACGGACAGGAGAGCGAGGAAAGACAGCCAGGAGAGAGAGTAAGGAGAGACAGCCAGGAGAGAGAGTAAGGAGAGACAGCCAGGAGAGAGAGAGGGGGTTTTAGATCTCATGTAGCTCGTCATTTGAAAAGTAGATCTTAACACAAAAATTGTGGGCACCCCTGTTGTACAGCGCTGAGCAAGCTGTTGGCGCTATATAAATCCTGTATAATAATCACATTTTCGCAGGCGCACCTATCAGACTCTATGGTGCCAAAACTACTTGGAGTGAGCCCGTTGGCCTGGTTCGCACCTAGGCGATTTTCAAACTTCGCCGTGTTCACACCTGAGCAGCAAACGCCAAACGCACAAAAATGTACATGAACTTCTTTTGGAAGTTTGCAGCCTGTTTTCCCCCCCATAGACTTCAAGGGGACCGTTTGACAGAAGCATATTGCACATTTTCATGTGCGTTTGTACATGCGTTCATCCATTGACCCAAGGTTTCTTAAGCTGCCAGTCAAAACGCACGTCTTTGCGCACACACAAATGTGCAAAAAGAAAAACCCCGCTAGCTGAACCCACGCGTAGAAGCGGCGACGCCTTGCTGTGAACGGGACCGAAAATGAGTGGATGTATTTTTTCCAAGTTCCAAGCAAAACAACGCTCCGATGTGAATGTGCGCCACAGAAAATAATAAGACTCTTCACGCAGAGTGCCGCACTTCGGGAAACACAGGACAAAATGCTCCGGTGTGAATGGGCACCACTGAAAATAATAGGACTCTTCACATTGAGCGCTGTGGCACGTCGGGAAACACATCAAAAACCGCCCAGGTGTGAACGGGCACCATTGAGACACATTAAGTGTTGTCGCGCTTCGGGAAACACACGACAAAATGCCCAGATGTGAATGAGCACATTTGAGTCACATTGAGTGTTGTCGCGCTTCTGGAAAAATCACAACAAAATGCTCCGGAGTGAATGGGCACCATTAAGTCACATTGAGCGCCGACGCGCTTCGGGAAGCACTGGACAAAAAGCTCTTCTGTGAAAGGTGCCCACTGAGTCACATTGATTGCTGATGCGCTTCGGGAAAATCACAACAAAACGATCCGGTGTGAATGGGCACAGCTGAAAATAATAGGACTCTTCGCATTGAGTGTTGTCACGCTTTGGGGGACACTGGACAAAACGCTCTGGTATGAATGAGCACCACTGAGTCACATTGAGTGTTGTCGCGCTTCGGGAAAAATCGCAACAAAATGCTCCGGAGTGAATGGGCACCATTAAGTTACATTGAGTGCTGCCGCGCTTCGGGAAAACCACAACAAAATGCTCTGGTGTGAATGGGCACCGCTGAAAATAATAGGACTCTTCACATTGAGTGCTGTCACGCTTCGGCTAGCACAGGACAAAAAGCTCTAGTGTGAATGGGCACCATTGAATCACATTGGGTGCTGACGCGCTTCAGGAAAATCACCACAAAACGCTCCGCTGTGAATGGGCAAGGCTGAAAATCAAAGGACTTCACATTGAGTGCTATCGCGCTTTGGGAAACACAGGACACAACACTCCGGTGTGAATGGGCACCACTGAGTCACATTGAGTGCTGACGCGCTTCAGGAAACCCACAAAAAAGCACTCTAGGGTGAATGTGGGCATCAGCTACATAACATTAGGCATTAGATGTGACTTCTTCAGCCCTCCAGGATCCCGGGCCCTCCCCAGGCTTTGTAGCAGGTGTCTGGAGAAATGATGGAGCAGCGAGGCTTCTCAGCAATGATAGTACCAGAATCATCAGCCAGTGTATATGGGAGAGGACAGAAGAGACATCACACAAGTCTGCCCGGGCAGCGCAGCGTACATTTTATTGTCAGCTCTGAGGCGATAGAAGAAGCTCACATACAACCTCTTGTGTACCGGGCATTAGGTGCGGGTCAGTGCCCGGGCCCAGCGAACTGTACGGGGGCATTCCAGCTAAATGCGTGATAAAAAAACAGCGACTTCTCACCTGATCTAGGTTCGAATCGCTGCCGCTGTCCCCCGTGTCCGAATCGATAACGATTCGTCTCGTCCGTTTCTTCACCATGTTTGCGGCTACACACAGCAACACAGGGGCCCGACCACCGGAACCACCGTTCACGCAGCACGCACCGCGCCTGTGCAAAGCTCCCTAGCTTTCAGATCCCGCCCACCAGCGCCATGACGCATATGAGGGAGGGGCTGTGACGAGAAAGACTCGCTCCGTCGGTACGTGATAGCGCTTGGGATGCAGCTGGCCACATTATGTGCTTCCTATCGCTCGGTATCATGGCTCACAGTGAATTATGTGTGTGTCTCCTTCAATACGATAATAAGAAATCGAACTTTCTGAGAAGTGTCTGCGGCGCCGCTTTTAATAGGTCGCAATTAGATGACGTAAGAGGGCGGAGTTGACCGGGTGACGTCGTGACTTCCATGCTGGAGAGCTGTCAGGTCGTACCGGGCGATTCCGGCTTGAAGTAAGTGAATGGTAGCACGGTTGGGTGATTGGAGGGGGATGACATGATTTGTAGTAGAAAAGGAGCATGTATGACTAGATATATGTGTCCTCTGTGATAAATCCTTCCTTTATAAGCTTGTTCCATCCTTTGTGGATGTGTGATGAGCAGGGGAGCTGGAATTGGAATGACAGCCCTGCAGGAAGTCACCTGTGGTAGTCACCCTATTTCTGATTCCAGTTGAAGTTTACCTGTGGCCATTTGATGAATTTCTGTGATCAGTTGCAGATTTGTGTATTATGAGTGACATTTATAGAGCACTTAGTGGCACGATTAGACTCACATCTTTTCCAAATCAGACCATCTAATTAAAGCTGAATTGTGGATACAAAAACTTTCACTTCAATATAGTCCGTTACCCCAAAGACTAAAAATCCACATTGTGTGCACACATTGCCGTTTTTAAATTCAGGTATTACATTGTGAAAATAAGTGACATCATCAGTGTGCTGCACAGAGCTGGGGGAGTTATCCAGCAGGCTCCACCCACTACAGGCTGCCTGCAGAAAACTATAGGAGGGGGCTAAGACCAGACCAGTCACCCTGTACAAGGAGAGAGAGACATAAGGTACCCATACACTTTACAACCATCGCAAGTCTTTTGTGTTGCGATGGTTGCAAGGTAATTTTTTAAAAACGTACCATCTGCCCATCTTGGACAGCCCGCCCTGAGGGGCGGGCTTCCGATGACTGCAATGCTAAACGGGCAGCACACCGGCCTGTGTAGCATTTGTCTTACGAGCAGGCCACTGACCCGCCGACAATTGTACAATTCTCGGCGGGTTTTGAGCCTGCTCGTAAGACAAAAGACATGCGACCGTACAGTAAAAACGGTTGCACACCTTCCATAGACCTGCCGATTATTGTATGATCGCGGGATTTCCCGCGATTATCGTACGATAATCGGCAGGTGTATGGGCACCTATAGATGACCAGTAATAATACTTGGTACTTGTTAGTCACCAATCAGAGCAAAGTGTCAGAGTGTGAGTGTGCTTTTCTCTCACCTCATAGTTCTAGCCGACCTGTGACAATGAGACTGTTACAGGTCGGCTCAGTAATAGCTCTATACTGAGCCTAGGGTGACGGGTGGACGCTAGTTTGTGTCCTCCCGTTACCCTAAGGAGAACTATGGGGAAAAGCCCTAACCCCATAATTCTCCTTTAAGCAACCACTAGCTTCCAGCCATAGCAAATGCAGAAGACGTAAGACCTAAACAGATGGCCTGCTGTAAGCAGTTATGTTCCGTGGTATTACAAGGGGAGTACTGAGGTGCGGCCCGCACCCGGGTAACACCATTGGAGGGGTGACACCAAAATGACTGACAGTCATTTTGGTGTCACCCCCCTCTGAAAAGTCAGGCGCTTGGTCATGGACCGAACGCCCGACAGTATCAGGAGAGAGAGGAAGGGACCCGGCGGCATACCTTATCCCGCCGGGTGACTGTCCCCTCCTCTCTCTGCCGGCGTCCATCACCAAGATGGCCACTGGCAGGTATCAGAAGATTGCAGCGCGCGCAAGATGACATCATCGCGCAAGCGCGTGGTGACGAGTCGGCGGGGTGACACCCAGTAACTGCTCCGGGTGTCACCCAGCCTCGGGATGCCCCTGCGTGGTAACCCTAATATTTGAGGCAGTGAAAGAGTTAAATGCAAAGGTCCTTTCTGACCTCTTCTTTCTAGTTGAGCATTACAAGGGGGCATGGTGGGATTGTGGCCGGGAGCAGACGCTGAGTGTTGTACCCTGTGGTACGAAACGTCCTATTTCTTTCCAAGAAGCCCCACATTACTAAGGCCTTGGGGTTGGAAAGTTCAGGGTGCGAGCCGCACCCTGGTTTCTCCAGGTATCAGCCATTTTTTGGTGACACACTTACATCTTGTGCAGCTCAAGGCACAAACAAGATGGCACCAGCGGAAGCTTCTAGTGCGCAGGCTGAAACTCCTCCTACTCGCACCGTGGCCGAGATCAGCAAGCACAGCTGCCTGCCTCACCAATGCTGAGGCTTCCAGAGACTCCTCTCCAGCTGCTTTGGATTTCTCCCGCTCATCACCTCGGCCACCATGGGCTGAGGGCAGGTTCCTCAGAGATATACTGCACTCTGTCCCGGGGAGTTGGATGCTTTGGCGAGAGAGTACACTCTGGAGTGGAATTGCTGATCTCAAGCTGTAATTCTCCAGCCTGGACTCTGGGGGGCGCACCTGCTTGAAGAAGACAGAGACTCTGTTTGTTATAGTCTATACACCCTTGAAATGATCAAGCTGCTATTCACAGATGATTCCTATCGCTGTTCCTGCACATAGAGGAGAAACAATCTTTTGGAGAAGCCAATAGACCTGAACTATGATGCCGGCCACAGTCAGAATATTCAAACAAAGTCGGCAGCTCATTGGCTGCCCGCTCTGTTCGTACAAAGATTTCCCCCGATCAGCTGATTGAGAGACACCGGCTGAAAGGGTAGCGACGGCAGCGCCCACTTTTCGAATTTCCTGAAGAACCGGACGAGAGAGGCAGAGCCGGCTGTCATTCAGGCAGCAGGGTGGATCCCGACCTGAGTTTACCGGATCCTTCCCTGCCGCAGCGTAGCTTTGCCCTGTCAGCATATAGCATATATGTTGGGTTTTGGGTCACAAGAGGACATAGTAAATGTCCTCCTGTGACCCCAAAGAGAACTATGGCCAAAAAAGGTTGGGCCATAGTTCTCTTTTACATTGTTTGGAAATGGCCTTATAACCCTTCCCAGATTTATAGGCAGCAACAGTTCTTCTCTAAGATCATTGCTGATATCTTGCTTCTTGACATTGCGTTAACACACCTGATTGCTCCAGACCAGCAAACTGCTTAAACTTCACTTTAAGGGGTTGTTCACATCATATACAGTGTGTTCCAACACGTTTAGCTGCTGGAACGCACTGTATCGCATAGTAAACTCCTCCCGGCGATCTGTGGCGGGAGGGAAAGTGGCGGTGCATTGAAGTCAATGGCACCGCAGCTATGCCTTTCCCCTGTCTGCAGTGTGATTGCCCGCACCAGAATGCGTGGCATCAGTGCCTGCGTTGCGGTCTAGTGCGATCAGAAAAAATGCTGCCAGCACTATTTTTTCCGATCGCACTGGACCAGAATGCAGGAATTGTTGTGTCCGCATTCTGGTGACTTCAATGCACTGCCACTCACCCTCCCGCCCCAGAACGCAGGGGGGATTCTATGCAATACAGTGCGTTCCAGCAGCTAATCACGCTGGAACGCACTGTGTATAATATGAACAAGCCCTTATAGAGGTGGTCTCACTTGCTGATGATCAGTTAATCAAGGACATTTGATTAGCAGCACCTGACTGCTACGTAGCCTCTTAATTCCTATGGAAGCAGTAAGGGTGTACTTAGTTTTTCACACATAACTTCTCCATCTTGGCTTTATGACAGTAAAATACATAGTGACTCGGTGTAATATGTTGTGGTGTTCATCTGAGGTTGTATTTACTTAAAGTGACATTAACCCCTTCATGACTGAGGCCCTTTTTTAAATTTTATCTTCCCAGCAATACTTCTTTAAGAACTTACCTTATGTAATGACTCCGAACCGCTTCTTCCCTCCACTCGTTTTCCAAAGTCCTTCCAGCGCTGGTGCCGGTCTCTGATCCACCGCAGACACCTCGGATCCCACGGTGTCTGTCTGACGTGCGCGCTCCCACCTGCGTCCATTCAGCTTCTGTAAAGCAAAACAAACGACAAACGCACTCAACAATTTGTTACCAGTTATACAGTAAGGTGCACACGACAGCTTCTGTGTTGCTCTCCTCCTTTCCCCATCCGACGCTCTGGACTGTGCATGCGCCTGCCCACACTTCCTCCTACACAGCGTCCGGGAGCCGGGACTTCTGCAGCGGGAGCGCGCGGCGCTGATACAGGTAAGTTTTTTTCTTTTTTTTTCTTTTAATGTTGGGGCATATGTTTACCGCTTACTAGCTGTAGATCTATGCTAAAAAAAAGAGACCTTAAAGGAGAACTATGGGGTGAGTGCTTTTCAGTCACCTCATAGTTCTAGCTGACCTGTGACAATGAGACTGTCACAGGTCGGCTCAGTAGATCGGGAGGTGAGCGAACACATACCGGCGTTCGCTCACCTCTCGATCCTGTCACGGCTCTCTGCCGTGACAGGGGAGGGGCTGGATTCCCCCCTCCCCGCTCCGATCTGCCAGCGCTGACTGGCGGAACGGATGGGGGAGGGGGGCGTGTACAGCTGGCTCTGCCTCTAGATAGGCAGAGCCAGCTGTCAGTCACGCAGCTGGGCGGAATCCCGGCACAATTGTCGGGATCCGCTTCAGCTGCGGCGTCTCAGTATACCGTGAGTAGAAGCTCGCGGTATACTGAGCCTAGGGTGACGGGTGGACACTAGTTTGTGTCCTCCCGTTACCCTAAGGAGTACTATTGGGAAAAGCCTTAACCCAATAGTTCTCCTTTTTAATTCTAAAGGTGTCCATACACCTGCCAATTATCGTACGATAATCGCGGGTGATCTCGCGATCGTGTATGGAACGTGTGCGACCGTTTCTACTGTACGGTCGCACGTCTTTTGTCTTCTGAGCATGCTTGAAAAACTTTAAGACTGATCCATTATACAAGTGTGGAATGTGGAATACATGACTCTGTTTAGTAATTAAACTAGGAGGATTCCGATTGGCCTGCCTGACAAAAAAGGAAGTCTGTAGGTAAAACTGCTGAGGTAGTTGTTATTTTGCAGGGTAAGGGCGCCCATACACCTATCGATTATCGTTCGGAAATCGTCCACGAATGGTCTTTCGAACAATAATCGATCAGTTGATGGGACACCAACCATTTTAATTACTTTACTTCTGGCCGAATTTCCTCGATCGGTCAGGCTGGAAAACGTTTTTCGTATTGTACAAAAATCGATGGATTAGTGGCGTTTTCCTACGAAAAAAAATCGCAGCCAGAACACTGCACATACGCAAACAAAAATCCGTTCTGTCGATTTGTCAAAATTCAGTGAGTTTGTATTGCCAACCAAAGATTATGGAAATGGACATTTGTCTGTGCATGATGGGGTATTTGAGTTAGAATCAATTGAGGGTTCTTGGCAGCAATGAAAATTTCCGATCACAAATCTCTAGATGTATGGCCAGCTTTAGAGTTAGTAAGTAAAATACGACTACAAAGCTTTTCCTTGTAAATCTCTGACTGCAAATTGTGCACTCTTTGTACTTTTACGTTATCCCAAACTCCAGGCAGATGTAAAAGACACAAATTATTGTTTTGCATTCATTATTGTATTCTTTTTGCATTTTTAGAAGCAAACCGTGTTAGTAGCTAATTTTAACTTACAGCGTTATTCATAAAAAGGTGAAGAGTTTCGAGAAGGCAGGAGAAGTGAACAATCTAGACCAGTGGTTCTTAACCTGTGGGTCGGGACCCCCAAAAGTGGGTCGCAACCCACAGTTGAGGGGGTCCCCACGTGCCTTGTGCTGCTCTAGGTAAGAGGCTCCTCAGCCTCCTCCTTGCGTGGCAGTGTCAGTTCTCCTAGGTGGCGCTGTAGCAGTAGTGGCCGGAGAGGATCAGAGAGAGGGGAGCAGGCAGGAGTGAGGGAAGGTGAATGCTCGATCACCACAGAGCCCACAACTAGGCATTACAGAGCCCACACTGGACGCCACCAGAGAGTCCCATTAGCCTCCTGAGAGCCCACACAGATACTAGTATTGGTGCATCCCTACATTTTACGGTTGGGGGTCACCACAACCTGGCAAATGTTAACAAGGGGTCCCGGCCCTACAAAGGTTGAGAACCACTGATCTAGGCCAATATAGCAGAGTGGAAAAATTCTCCAATTCAGCTCACTTTCCAGTTCAGCTTTGTTGTCCTAGACCGTTCACTTCTCCTGCCTTCTCCAAACTCTTCACCCTTTTGTGAATAACCCAGTAGTCAGTATCTGCCTCTTGCAGTTCCTGTACAGTAGAACTCTGAGGGTGGGAGAAGCAACACATGAAGCCATGCTGATAAAAGAAGAGAACAGAGTTTACTTCAGAATAAAACTGCATGCACAATTTTTTGCAATCACACTGCAACGCGCAACATTGCGGTACCGTGCGTTCCAGTGCAGGCGATCACACTGTGGGTGGGGGGCACTTTTTGGGTGCCATTGAAACGAATGGCACAGCAACGCCCCTCCCGCAGCAGAATTTGTCAGGTCAAAGCTGAAAACTAATTTTTCCCCCACCTTTTTTATAATAATTTTTTTTTTATAACTGTATTGTAAGTACATGGCGCTTGAATAGCTTCAGCCAGGGAATGACAGCTGCCAGTGGCAAGATTTCGACAATGGCAGCTGAATGTAAATACAGCAGGTAGTGGGCTGGTGCAATAGCCAGCCTGCTATGGGCCATTTCAAATTGCAATAGCCAATAGCAGGTTGGGACCCACCCACTGCTTGCTGTGCCCTCCTCCCAGCATGGAGGAGAGAGCTAGGGAATCCAACCAACTAATCGATTAATGAGAATAGTTGACTTCTCATTATCGATTAGTTGGTTGCAGCCCTAGAAAGATCAGGTCTTGTTTTCTGTCAGGTAGGACTGTGCTCTGTAGAACTGTCTTGATGGACAGAAACAAAAATCCCTTTTGCAGATGAACCAGCTCTCCTATATGTATTTGGCTGTTTGGGTGGAGTTCAGCTTTAAGGCATCTTAAAGGAGAACAATGGGGTTAGGGCTTTTCCCCATAGTTCTCCTTAGGCCTTGTTCACACCAAGCGTGGAGCAGGTGCAGAGCAGATCAGTTGCAGACCGGATCAAAACTGCATCCAATGTTTTCCAATGGAATTCTTTGCTCCAGTTCACATTGCAGCGTGCAGGTCCAGAGCAGGTGAAAAACTGCAGCAAGCCCTATTTTACCTGCTCTGGATCTGCAAACACATCAAAAACGCCTGGAATGCACTGAAAGCCCATTTTAAACTTACAAAAATATATATATATTTTTTTTTTGCCAAAAAACGCATCTAAAAGACTAGCGTGCGTGTGCAGAAAACTGACCGGATCTGCTCTGCATTTGGTGTGAACAAGGCCTTAAGGTGACGGGAGGACGCTAGCGTTCGCTCACCTCCCGATCTACTAAGCCGACCTGTGACAGTCTCATTGTCACAGGTCGGCTAGAACTATGAGGTGACTGAAAAGCACTCACCTCATACTTCTCCTTTAACTATGAAATAAAACTATTGATCATATTTTGGTGAAAGGCATACATTGATTACTAATCTTTTTTTTCTTTTTTTTTTCTGCCTAGGAATATATTTCAAAGATTGCACATCATAGGACAGTGCACGTGGATGCGGTGAAGTTAACCTTCAGTAATAACTTTTATAGAATGACTTTTACACAAAAAATTATGCGGGGCGTCAACTTTTCTCACACATACCAAGGAACTAAGGCATTGTGTCCTTTATTGTATTCTTCTCTTCACCATCCTGTCTTACAGTCACATGCTAGATGTTACAGGAGGCCTGGCACTTCTCCTGATCATATACCTTTTTGGAAAAAAACACATTTCAGCCCCAAAAATGCAGCTGAAAGTGTGAAGAAAAATATAAATCTTATGTTTAAGGAGATAGGAGACCATCTTCGAGGTCCAGGGGGAAAACCTTTAGAGGAGGCCCTTGTGGAACGAACAACGGTGTTGTGGAATTTTCGAAGTCCTGAAGACCTGCAGAAATGGATAGTGTCAACTGACATGGAGATTGGTGGTAAAAGCCAGGCTTCCCTGAACCTGGGGAGAAATAACCAAACTGCACTCTTTTCTGGAGTTCTTAATTCCGAAGTACCCCGTGATGGAGAAACAACGTCCAGTGGGTTCTGCACTTTGAGGGCAAGGCCTCGTAAGGTCTGTAAATGTAAAAACGCTGATTTGTAATGATCTAGAAGTAAAACATTTGACACTTTCAAGTGCAATCTATTCATGAGTGATGATGGTGCACAAAATATCATTCACTTTAAGACATTTTTTGCTATGCGTGTTTTTTGTTTGCATGACCAAACAATACTCGTTAAAGCTGGACTTTGACAAATTTGATGAGGTTAAACAGGCATGGCTACAGGTTCGAGTTAACTTCACGCCCTCTTCTGTCAGCGGCTTTAATTTATGAAACCATGTCTCAATGGATCACATCTCAGCTCTCAGTCCTGCAGTTTTACAGCTTAAAGGAGAACTATGAGGTGAGTGAAAATCGCTCACCTCATAGTTCAAGCCGACGTGTGACAACGAAACTGTCACACGTCGGCTCAATAGATCGGGAAGTGAGCGAACACATACCGTCGCTCGCTCACTTCTCGATCATCTCCCTGCAGAGAGCTGTGTCTGTCAGTCACCACTCCCCGCAGGGATTTCCCCCCGCTCCAATCCTCCAGCGCTGACTGGAGGAACGGATGGTGGAGGGGGCGGGCACAGCTGGCTCTGCCTCTAGATAGGTAGAGCCAGCTGTCGCTCATGCAGCTGGGTGGATCTCGACAGTAATGTTGGGATCCGTCCTGGCTGCGGCGGTCTCAGTATACCGCGAGCTGTTGCTCGCTATATACTGAGCTTTGGGTCACGAGAGGGAGGAGGTTAGTTTATGTCCTCCCGTGACCCTAAAGAGAACTATAGGGAAAAACATTTACCTCATAGTTCTCCTTTTAAGCCTCTTCAGGCATTGATTCCTTCTGATATTGTATTAGTAAGATCCCCATATACATTGGATCTATCAGTGGCTGCAGCCCACTCCTCACTTGCAATCCTTTTTGTAAATCCAAATCATTTTAGAATTGCTATATCCTTGTGTCCCTCATTCGATTTTAAGATTTTTGTACTTGTAAAATCTTTCTCTTGAGGTCCACTGAGGGACCCCCCTTTATTTGCACTTTATACTGCTTGTTCACAAACTGAACCCTGATAGTTCGGGGTGGGGTTATGCAGGGGCAGGCCTTATGTTTGCCAATAATCCTGTTATCTGAGAAATGCTCTATCCCTGGGTGCCCCAATGGACTTGAAGAAAAAGATTTTACAGTAAGTACGAAAAAAGAAAAATCTATTTTTTTTATTTTGCCCAGTATAAAATCACTTCTTTCAGATTAACCCCTTCATGACTGAGGCCCTTTTTTTCAATTTTTGCACCCATGTTATATTCCACATTTTAGGCCTGAAAATGACGTAAAACCCCCCAACATTATATATTTTCTGAATGCCAAGACCCTATAGAATAAAATGGTGGTAGTTGAAAATTTTTATGTTGCGCAATATTAGCGCAACTCCTTATTAAACCCCAAAATTTAGTGACAAATTTAATTAAATGCCCCAAAACACAACAAATTACCCATTTTTTTAATGAAATATAAAAGATGAGGTTACAACGAGTAAGCAAACCTCTTTTAGATGCTGATTTGATGGCCCATTTTTGATTGATTTTCTTTCCTTCTACAATTTCACATGATATTATAATGGTCATTGATTTTCTATTGCGTTAATACAGGGAGCATTTGGGCGTACACTCCACAACGACTGGTCTAATTTTAATACGCTACACTTGCGGATTCGAGGGGATGGACGGCCCTGGATGGTGAATATACAGTCTGAGACCTATTTTTCACTTCAGTGGGATGATTTGTATCATTATTTCCTATACACACGTGGAGGTCCCTACTGGCAGGATGTTAAGGTGAATAGGATCATTTACTGTAACGATTGTTTTATGATTGTAGATTTTGCTTTGAGAACTTTTGTTGTAAGTTTAAATAGGAAAATGATTTAAGTCAACAATTTTATTTATTTCTTTTTACAAATCAATAAAATGTTTGCTGCCGTGTGTCAAAGCAATTATTAAATAAGCACGATATTTGGAATAATATATATAATAAGTATATCTAAAGCCTAAACACGGTGCAGAATCTCTCTTGCCAGCAAAGCATTGCAAGATTCTCAGTCACAGGCATGACTCCCAGAGAACGTTGCATCATAGGATTTGTAGTTTCACCCACAACTGGGCCAGAGGTCCCCCACCTCTGCTATAAAGGGAACAACACAATAGAAATAGATGATTGGTTTCATTGCCATCTTTAACAATCCTGTGTTACTGACAAGTTACTGCAAATGACTGCATTGCTAGTGTCTCACAGGCCTTGGATTAACAACCAGGGGCAGCCTGGAAACCTCAAGCCTCCTTTCAAAATATGTTTTTAATTAATTTTTCTCTTCCGTTCATTGAAGGACACAGGAGATCTTTAGATCTTGTTCATCATAGCACCACCTTCAGGAGGTTTTTTGTTTTGTTTTTTTCTGCAGGAAATATTTCACTTTTTGTATTCGTCTGTGTTCCAGACCTTCAATCAACAAATGAGCTGGGTGACAAGCTGGTTAATATAGATACTTGTACTCCCCCCAGCTCAACCATCCAGCGCATGCGGATCCTTAGCTGTGTGTGGGTTGGCTGCTACAGCCCTATCCTGGATTGGGGCAGCCTGTGAGTGTTCCTCATGGGGGGCACATATGACACAGTGACTTGTTTTTCTGTCAGTGTCCCTCGAGGCAGACAGACTATCCTGGGAAATTGTACACTCTGAATCCTGTGGCCGGTAAGTACATGGCCATTCTGGAACTTCCTGTGGCCACAACTCTATGTGGTCTTTCAGGGAGTCCTGGCCACAGCTCCATGGAACTGCTGTGGGACTTCCTGTGGCTGCAATTCCATGTGGCCGTTCGGGGGAGTCTTAGCACCCGTAGCTTCATGTATTGCTGTGCATTCAGCATTCCCCTCTTGCAGGCTGCTGTAGCTTCATCTTTGTTTTTGGTTGACACCGGGTAGTGATGTCAGCACTCGGCTCCCAGTGTGAGGATGCTAAGATGCAGGTACTCCTGCATTGTTTGCTGGTGTGCACAGAAGCAGAATGATGTTGGCATTCCTACTCCTCCTTCCTGGCAGAGGTCCCCTTTCTGTGGGGTAAGTCGTGTCTGGGGCCATTTCTCTTGTAACAGTGCCTGTCCCCTTCTCCCTTCTACTGTATCTTGTGACTTAGGGCATGTTTATTCAGCTGAGGGGGATCCTTGGGATCTATCCATTTGCAGTGGTGCTTTGTGTGGGTGCTTTGTGTGGGTGCTTGTGTTCTCCCGGAGCTATCTGTGTTTTCTGACCAATCTATCCATATGGCTTTTTTGGGCCTGCTTCTGGAAAGATTATAAAAAAAACTTGGCAACAGGGGTGGGAGCATATGCAGGTGTCCCGCTGTTTATGTTGCGCTGGCTGGTAAGTTAGGTCACGGCCTTGGGTATATGCGTGTTGCATCTGGATGTGTAAACCCTACACTGTAGACTTTTTTTCGACCTTTGTTCTTCACTAAGCAGTGTGACTTGGGTGTTCCTTTTAAAGCAGATCGCCTGTTTGGCGCAATCCATGATACGGTACAACAATCTATAAACTATTATGTGGCAGGGTTGGGTTAGAAAATTTCCAGGCCTCACGTTAGGTATTCCCTTCTAACTCTGAACCATTATGCCTGCCCGGCCCTAGGGGCTGGACTGAGTTTGTGAGTGGCCCAACTATTCTCCTTGCTGCTTAGTTGTCCTCATTTAAGTATGGTTATGGTATCCTCTTGGTCTGTCATGACCCCACTCTTTTAGGGAGCATTTACAACAACTCTAGGCATTGGGGATTCACACATTTGATATGGCTTCATTTTGCTGTGGGTGCACTTCGGTCCAGTTGAGGCCCTGACATTGATCTGTGTTCCGCACCCACTGTGTTCACCAAGGTTTTGGCACGTGTGCTAGCCTTCCTGTGCCCCCCAGGGTGATCCCATATAGGATATTTGTATGATCTTCTTTTGAGGTAACAGTTGGCACAATTTTTGACCAGGAGGTAATGCAGACCCTTCAGAAGTCAGCACTGGAATCGACACAGTGCTTGGAGTATCTGGATCTTGTCCTAGCTACAGTTCCAGCCAGGTTTTTATTTTTCTTGCTAAACTCTCACTTTACTTTCTCACACTCTCCCTTTTATGGTTTAGAAGCAGACCAACATCGTAATTCTGGAAGAGGAACTTTTTTTTCTTGTTTTTAAATAGGCTTTCTGTCCATCCAGCCACCTTCTAATCCTTTCATTAACGCAGCGCATTTTTTTTTAACGCAGATTCCTTTGTCTAAGTTCTTCATGAGCAGCCGTGGCAGAGTCCAGGATGGCCAGTATCCTCTATGGCCAGATAAGGTATGTCATTTTAGAAGGCGTACAAGCACCAACATAACTGTGCCTGAGCAATGCTTGCTTGAGGATGTAATATCTCTTATGTGGATATTAATAGAAACAATCTCAAGCAATAGTAAGTCATCAACACACCTAAAAAAAAAAAACTAGACACTATGTTACTAAAATCCATAATGATCCACCACCCAGCGCTACTTTGATATGGATGGAGCACTCATCATTTTGAATGTAGGACATTCCTTACTTCATGATTGCAGCCAAACTCTTCCTAGCTAGACATTGGAAATGGAAGCTCCCAACATGGCCACATTCTATCTAATCGGAACAAACACTGGAAACAGTGGAATACTTGGCTTATGGGCACCGGATGCCCTCAAATAGTAAATAACCACTTATTTTATCCCAAACTATCCTTTTATCTAAACATAAACAAGGTTCTTACAATGCCAAGGTACATAAATAGTGACCATGTATCATTATGGAAAATGAGACACAAATGAAAAGGAAACTTTGTGTTCTTCTCACCATACTTGCTGTACTAGCATATAGATTAACAGCAGGATAACCTTCTGACCCCCTTTAGTACAACATACTGCCATTCCACTCACCTTTACTAAACTATGTATGTAGAACAAAATGTGATACATATTTTTTCCCCCCATGTCTTTAGTTTGTCATTTGTATGTTTCTAAATAAAAACAAAACTAAAGTTTTTGAGAAAAAAACATTCTAGACCGTGTCCTTGCAAAAGGAAGAGTTAACAGTTTGGTTGGCCTGACCATTTAAAGGAGAACTGAGGTGAGTGAAAATCACTCAGCCGATGTGTGACAATGAAACTGTCACACGTCGGCTCAATAGATCAGGAAGTGAACGAACACATACCGTTGCTCGCTCACTTCTCAATCATCTCCCTGCAGACAGCCGTGACTGGCACTCACGGCTCCCTGCAGGGATTCTCTCCTCCCTGCTCCAGTCCTCCAGCGCTGACTGGAGGAATGTTACGGGGTAGGGTACAGCTGCCTCTAGCTAGGCAGAGCCAGCTGTCACTCATGCAGCTGGGTGGATCTCGACAGAAATGTCGGGATCCGTCCCAGTTGCGGCAGTCTCAGTATACTGCAAGCCGTAGCTCGCAATATACTGAGCTTTGGGTCACAGGAGGAGGTTAGTATATGTCCTCCCGTGACCCTTAGGAGAATTATGGGGAAAACACTTACCCCCATAGTTTTTTTTTTTTTTTTAAATAACCTTACCGGTGACAGAACCCATTTAAAGAGAGCAAAGGACTGTAGCCTCCCTGCAGCTGATCTTTCCTCTTGTTCTGTAATGTGTTTTTGTGTGAAAGCAGCCGTTTTGTAGAAGAGTGATTTGCTTCTTGCGGTCAGACCTGCCCTCATGGTGCAGTAATGATCAAAAAGCATCAGAAGTGGAGAAAGCGCAGAATCGCCACAGCATGAATGAAGCAGAAGGTGGGTGATGCTTGTACTTCAGGTCCTTAGGTGCAGCATCGTCCACCGCAGGCCCTCAGAAGAACAATGAACAGTGTAGTAGTGACATAACTGAACCTCACAGTAAACACTTTGCTGTAAGCAGGATGGTGTGGCTAACCATACAAATAATTTTCTAATCCCCTTTTGAACAAGAAGAAAACAAAAACAATTACCATAGGGTAGGAAATGTTTGCTGTATCAGTTTCTGAATTCTTGTATTTACAGGTGAAACTCGAATAATTAGAATATCGTGCAAAGTTCATTTATTTCACTAATGCAACTTAAAAGGTGAAACTAATATATGAGATAGACTCATTACATGCAAAGCAAGATAATTCAAGCCGTGATTAGTCATAATTGTGATGATTATGGCTTACAGCTCATGAAAACCCCAAGAACCCCAAATCCACAACCTCAAAAAAGTAGATTATTACATGCAATCAATAAAACAAGGATTGTACATAGAACAATATCGGACCTCTGAAAAGTACAAGCATGCATATGTACTCAGTACTTGGTTTGGGCCCCTTTTGCAGCACTTACTGCAATTACTTTTGCACAATATTCCAATTATTCGAGTTTCACCTGTAATCTTTATTACCTGTATTTGACACTGGCAATTGTTACTTCTTTTTTCTCTTTCATATACTCTAGGTAACTACTCTGGGATTCACAATTGCTGACAGGGCAGATGGACCTTTTCAGCTTGAAATAGATTTTATTGGACTGTATAATGATCAAGCACATACAGAGGAGTTTGCATACGAGTTGTACCCACATACACCGATGTAGAACATTTGAACTGTGATTTAAATATAGTACATTTGTAAATTAAATTATTTTTCCTTTCAAATTGCTTTTCTGTGGCAAGTATGAAGATTGTATACAGGTAACTGAGTCATTTACAGTTTGTGGCAAGTATGGCATCTGTAAATGTAATTCATGTTCAGTTGCCCCCTAGATGCAGAACATGTGATCACTGTTTTTGAAACCTGGTGTAGATTATAAAGAAACATGGAGCTGTCATTTCTAAACACTCTCTGATGATTCCAGTTGTTAGACTGACCCTCTAACTACTTGCTGACCGGAGTGTTAAACCCCCTTCCTGACCAGGCCATTTTTCAGTATTTGATATTTTAGTCATGTGACGCTGTACTGAAATTAATTTACATCCCTTTTGGGGAAACATACAGCTTTCTTTTAGTGGTATTTAATCACTACTGCAGAATTATTATTTTTTTACTAAAATAAGGAAAAATTGCCAAAAATGAATTTAATAAACATTTATTATTAGCCAACTTTTTGGTATAATATAAAAGACAGAGTCATGTCAGGGAAATAGACATCAAACATGTCAAGCCTTAAATTTGTGCACGCCCAGAATTGGCCATAGGCAACACTTTGATAACATTGAACTGATGAGCAGTAAAAGGTTTAGTGATTAATGGCCCTAGAATTATTTCTCGCACTCCGACATTCGCAGTGATATGTAACGCGTGCAATCGTCATTGGTGCACCCGACGCGTATTTACCTTTTTTATATGTGCATATACGTGGGGGACTTAATAATTTTGAGGGAGTTGTTTTACATGACTTTTTTTTTTACACTTAATGTTATTGCTATCACATAGGGAGCTAACAATCCCCCTATGTGATAGTACAGGCACACTGACAGGTGCTCTTTATGAAGACAGCATGGTTCTATAAGACCCCCTAATGTCACCTAGGGACCCACAAAGAAGTTTTTGATCTTCAATCAACCTGCTGCTTGGGTGACAAGCCAGATATACAGAATCTGGTAGTCTAATCTGTTTTATATAGGTTTTCGCCAAGCTATTGATTTTTATGATTCATTGCGGTTACCAGCGTTCATCCAGTGCAAAACAAAAAACACGGGTAACTCCGTATAGTGTTAGAGTTACAGCAGTGTACCATGCCTTAGCAGTAGGTGTCAGTGATGACACAATAAACCTTAAGACATTGATAGGGTGCATCTTTGCTATATACAACTGTGGAGATCACATGCATTTAGCTTTTATGCATTGTCTTTTTATTTTCCTGAGTATGTTTGGGATCGCCTCTCCTAAACCTTATGCTCGTTTGTTGTATATTCAATTAGAGCTGCAGCTAACGATTATTTTCAAAATCGATTAGTTAGCCGATTATTAAGTTCGATTAATCGGATAAACAATAAAATACATTTTAAAAAATGGCTCCAGCGATGGACTACTAGTTTGTATTGAGATTGTAGTCCATCACAGGAGCGAGCTTGGAGCGGTGGAAATAAAAAAAAGTGTGGTGTGCAATATAGTGAAATGGAAAGTGTAAAATTATACAGCAATGAATGCAGAATGGCACCGGCTATAGAGGACTACAAATCCCAGCAATAGTACATTATAGCTGGCGGTATTCTGCATTGCACTGTATAATGTACTGTTGCTGGGTTATGTAGTCCTCTATAGCTAGTGGTATTCCGCATTGCGATGTATAATGTATTGCTGGGATTTGTAGTCCTCTATACAGCGCAGTGCAGAATATCACCAACTATAGAGGAGTACAACAAATCCCAGCAATACATTATACATACAGTGTTGCTGGGATTTGTAGTCCTCTATAGCTGATGGTATAATATACAGCACAATGTACCATCAGCTATAGAGGAATACAACTTCCACTATCCCAGCAATACATTATAGAGCACCATGTGGGGGGGAGTGCAGGCTTACCTGAGCAGTCTTCCAGCAACTTGCTTCTGAGATCGGACCTGTCTGTCGGCGGCTGTCATCCCCCCCCACACCTGCTCCTCCTTACTACATCTCCCCGCGCACCTGTGCCGATCGTGGATGTGGGTGGGTAGTGAGTGTGAGGCGGGGAGGAGGTGCGGCGTGTAGAGCGTGGATGCGGGCGGGCCTGGCAGGGGCGAGTGTGAGGTGGGGAATAGTGCGACGTGCAGCATGTGGGTAGCCGTGAACAGGGCCAACTGATCGGAAGCCGATTAATCGATTATTGAAAAAGTTGACAACTTTTTCAATAATCGATTATGTCGATTAGTTGTTGCAGCCCTATTTTCAATGTTGACAATAGTATAGCAAAAAGTCTGAGTTTCTTACATTCCAGTGCCAACCATCAAGGTTCAGATTACTGCCCTGCCCATGGCTTCACTTGGATTGTCTCACCTGTACCTTTCAACAGGAAGCCGCCTGCATCCCTCCTATATACTTGCCACTGTTATCTCCACTCAGTCTTTATGCTACAGTGTCCCCATTCAACCTTCTTTGGGAGGTTCCTCATCCCTTGTCCACATAAGTGTTTTTGGGTGGTCATCAATGGAACAAAATTTGCATATATAAACCAGTCTAACTAACTGCAGCAGGTCACATATTCTTTGTACTTGAGCATCTTACTCTCAGTGGTTCCACCTGAACATAGAGCGAGAATTTTGACAGAGAGCACATATCATACAGCCATGGCAAACAGGACCTGCATTAGAAAAATGTTCATTAACAGCTTAGATTAAAGGATATACATTTGGGGTCTGCTTAGAGATGACCAGAACTCCAGAAGCTGTGCACAAAAAGGAAAGCAGAGGGCAAAGTACTAGTCACCAGTATTCTCTGTAGGCTCCATGCAGCTAAAATTTCTCCCATTACGGTCTTGTTCTGCGCTGCGTTTTTGTTTAGACGCAGCCATCTTGATGGGGGAATAGGACTTTGCTTTCTCTTGTCAGTGTGATAATCTCATGACTAGTTATCTGGTAACTGGTGGTGGAATATTCAAGAAGCAGCAGGAGAGGTTCACAAAGCACAGCTCCACAGAATGACTGAAGCAGGGAGATACTTGAAGAATCCTCTCCAACATACAGCGCTGCAGTGATATCAAATACCACCCCCAAATCTCACGAGACTAGCAGGCACAGGCAGAAGTGGCTTAGATGATCTCACACTACAGACATACAGCTAAGAGCATGTAAACACAGGAGTGCCTAGGTACTCTTAAATAACAGGAAGCAGAAGGGGTTGGTTTTTGTTTTTTTTTAGGAGAAATTTAAAACCAAAAATTGTACACTTGACACTGCTAGTTAGGTGCAATTAACATTTCTTGATGGTCCACATAGCAGATCTTCACTTTTTTGAGTTCAGGGTCACTTAGATGGCAAATGCAAACCAGAAACATTTAGGAGGTTATAAATAAAAAGGACAATTGTACAACAGCGATGTTTATTTTTTTTTTTCTAGAATAGCAGCCACACTACGAAGCAGAATATTGCTAAGGCAAACTGAGAGCTTTATGGCAGTACACAGTATAAAAGGTGCCCACACACCTTACAATTTATCTGCAGAGTTTCTGTGGTCAGGTGGAAAAAGTGCAACAGATAGGCCCAGGTGGAGATTACTCCATCCACACAGTTAAGTGTAGATGGAGGAATCTGTTGCACCTTTTCCATCTGCCCACAGAAAATCTGCAGATAATTGTAAGGTGTATGGGCAGCTTAAGAAAGACAATTAACCAAAAACAGAAGCAACATGTTCCAGTTCAGCCACTAGGAGTTTCACAATTATGTGTAAAATAACTATAGACCGTTATGCAGCAAGCGATGGGAAGATAACTGTTAATCTCCGGCCAGCTCAACACTTCGAAGAGCTTCAATTTGAATGAGTTTGTTAGAAGAGCAACAATCTTTAACAGAACACCGTAAATATGACTAAGTTGAAGGATGCATATCCACAAAGTGCTCCTCCTAGCACATACCACTACATTTGCCTGGTGCAAAGTTGCATGTTTGCACCACAGTCTTGCAGCAGAATGATCATCGGGTGGCCAGATTGTAAACTTATGAACAGTTACATAATGTCAGAAAGTAGCAATACTATAAGCTGGCCATAGACTGCTTGAATTTCAGCCAATTCAGCAGAATCAGCTAAAAATTTGAGCCATGGGTGGCCCTGCAAGCACCATCTGGCTCACCAAAACTAAAATTTAAAAATCAACTGAGCTGGGTGGAAAATTATTGGCCAAACAGAGACTGCAATGATCAAGGGAAATACAAAAATATCAGTGTATGGCCCGCTTTTGTTCTTTATACTCCCATATTGTGTATGCATGTAGGACATTGATGCAAAGTTGTGGGAGAATTAGGTTTATACGCATAACTGTGTAAAAGTGATGTAACTTTCCGCGAAGTTCTGATATTATGTATAATAAACTGGTCTCAGAGCTGCCATGGTAACCTCCACTGATTAAAATAAGACCTTTTAGCACTCTTTCAGGGGTAAGATGAATACTGGGAAAATAAAAGGTATAGGTTGGCTGTGCGCTGCAGTATTCAGTATACATACCGAGGGGAATTTGTCAAAACCTGGAGCAGTTGCATATGGCAACCAATCAGATTCTTCAGTTTGTTCAGTTAAGATTTGAAAAAGAGAGAGAAACCGATTGGCTGCCATGTACAACTGCTCTAGATTTTGTTTGCTCCAGTCTTGATAAATTCCCATCACTGTATATCTATAGCTTTGAATGCTTTTGATTAAAGATTACTTGTAACCTGTCTAAATTATTGGCTATCTACCAATCCTGGTGTATAGGAGAAACCACATGAAAAAAGAGCAAATAGTATATAATCAAAATATAGATTTACATTCAAAACTAAGCACTGACCATAATAAAAAAAAAATAACCATTCAATAACTAGCCCAGAATCTAGAAAAATACAAGTTAGACATATAAAGGTTTTAAAAATTCACACACAATTTTTTTTTTACAAATATATACATAAAATGGCTGAATATCTACTGTGTTACAATTCCTCTTCGTGTCCCAACAGCTTTGTCTCTCTTGACCTTTCTGTCTTCTTCATGCTTTTTGCGCCTTTCATCACTTTTCAAGAAAATATTTAAAAAAATTTAAAAAAAAGGTGATTAGCAAAATAAACTGGGGACTCCCATGTGTTACTCCACTTTATTGCAATGCGATAAGTATAAAGGAAAGCCCACCCAGGCACCCCCACCTTACACAAAAGGGTTCTTGCATTTCTTCAGCCCTCATGTTCTAGACAATGCAGATCTCATCACCCATTCAAATGTTTGCCCCTGTCTGACACCCCAGGTTACAATGAATGACGTCACTGCAAACGAGGGGCTGTAGAGAGTGAGGGTGAGGAGACTGTAATTGGGCAGTAGCACCACCCTGGAGATGGTTATTCTGAAAAAACGTAAAGCTCTAAAGAACAGTAAGGGTGGCTGTATGGCAGGTGTAAGGCTCCTTAAACCTACAAAAGTAGACAATATTTTTGGAAGTCTGCTAGCCAGCTAGGAGCTTTATCCTGCATCTGTGCAGCCTTAGGCCATGGTCTTTGTGGCCTAGGGATAAATCCAGCCTGGATCACAAGAATGGCGGGTCATTGTTACATATTAATGAATCTGAGGGTGTGGATGAGAACACAGCATCCACACATTAACCTTGAGCATTTGTGGATGCCTGTGCTTGACTTTAATGCTTGGATGCCAAATGGACACGGCAAAGGCAAGAGTTGCAAAACAGCTGCATTATACATACATACACACACTTTATAAAGTGCACATTAGTTTAGGTCTTGGCCACAGGAGCAAATTTATGAATAGGACAATTTACTAAGTGCCCAACATTTCTGTGGAGTACAGCCCACCTTTATTAAGGTTCCAGACGCCAAGTCCTGTATGTGCCGTGATACATATTTATCTATTCGCTTCCATCTCCCAGGATATACTTCAATAGCATTAGCAATGACTACTGTTGGGTAAAAGGGATGACTGCTGACAGAACACTAAAAGGTGCAAGAGCTGCCTGATTGTTTTGAGGACCCCATTAGGGGGCACACTGTTTGTCAGGAACAGACATGCGTTTACTTAGTGCCTCATACAAGCAGATGTTTTGCTCAATGCTGTACAAAGCTCTCCTGCACGAAAACGGTGTTTGTTAGCTGCCTTGAGGAAAAAAGTGCAGGACAAACCTGCTTGGACTTTCCCTTTGTGTCCCTATCTCATGCATGATTTACTGCTGCTAATATCACTTGAGCCTGTCCCTATTACATCTGTGTGCTTAGATGTGTGCAGTGCCTAATAATGGCAGACACCTACTGAGGAATAAAATGCAGACACCTACTGAGGAATAAAATGCAGAAGCATGTAAAGCAGTTATTTGGCAAACTCTAATCAGCTACTGCAAGATGTGAACAACCCAAAAAATGCAACAGCTGACTGAAGCCTGCCAGACCTCCTTAGAGGAACAACAGCAAGTGAACCTGTCTCTACAACAGCAGATACAGGTGGTGTTGAACAATTTATGAAAAATGTCCCCTATATTGTGACTCACATCAAAGTTAAAACCTCATGGGTTTTTAAAGCTTCAAGGAGCATTAAAAAGAAGAGTGAAATACAATCATCCCCATACTTAGAGCCGACGTGCAACACTGCAGCTGTCGCATGTCGGCCCTATTAAAATCGAGAACTAAGTGATAACATACGGCTGATCACGATCTTCACCCTGCAGAGAGTGGTGAGCGACAGTCACCGCTCTCTGCAGGGATTCCTCCCTCTCCTCTAGCGTTGACTGGACAGATGGGGGGAGGGGATGGAAGAAGCAGAGCCAGCTGTCATTTAGGCAGCGGGGTGGATCTAGACAATATTGTCTGGGTCTTTCCTGGCTGTAGCGTGGCTCTGCGTTGTCAGCATATAGCGGGCAATAGCTATGAATTTGCTGTTCCAATCCCTCCATCCTGTGTTTGCTGCACTGCTAAATAAAAAGTGCAGGAGAAACCTGTTTGGACTGTTCCTGGATGTCTCTGTCTTGTGCATGTCTCACCACTGCCAATACCAACTGAACCTGGCCCACGCGCGCACACAAAACACACACTTAATATAAGCACTTACCGTGTTGGAAGTATAGGCTGTTTGAAATTATTTTTAATTGCAGATACAGTAGTACTAGTGACAGCTTGGTTCTCTTTAGCTTGTCCCCAAGGTTTCAATTTACCTATTAAACGTAGAAAACTTTTAAAAAGTTGCCTATACACAACATAATTCAGACAAAGTGTTGGGTTATGCATATGAAAGTGGAAAATCAGGCATTAAAATTGGGATGTATAAATCCCAGGGCTCCGTGTGCTCCTTACAAATGACAGCTGACTCCTAACTTTGGAATTTTTCTCTAGTCTGGTCTTGGAGCTGGAAAAGTATCTGTACTTGTACAGAGTACAGTACTTGGTATCTGAACATCCCTACATAAAAAATTAAAATATTTAACCACCTCCGGGCCGGCCGTAGTAAAAAAAACGGCCGGCCCGAGCTCTCTAGATCTGAGCGGGCGTCTTTAGACGTACGCTCAGACACGCCCCCCAAAAATAAAGCTCTATCTGTCCCCAAAAAATGGTATAAAATTCATTTCAGTACAGCGCTGCATGACGGAATAAACGTCAGTCAAAGTACCGCAGCGCTGAATACTGAAAAATGGCCTGGCCAGGAAGGGGGTCTAAACACCTGGTCTTGAAGTGGTTAATCAAAAGAAAATTTTAAAACTTTATAAAAAATGAATGAAAATAAAATGTATTTTTAAAAAATTGAAAAAGTTAGAAAAAAATATTTTGGTTTTGGGTCATTTTTTTTTCCATTTCAGTTTTAAAATGTTAATTTCGGTGCACCTGTTAAACATTTTTTGGACTTTTATACTGTCTTGTTTGGCGTTCTCACAGGACTGTATATATGCGTATATACTCAACACTGGATCCCCTTGCATGTGGGACATCCCATTTTTGTTGTGTGGCCTTACGGGAACCATTGTGCTTTATCTGACCAATCTTCTGAATGTTTAAATCCCTCGCCTCACCTGTACTTGTTCCTGTAATAAAGAATGGTGTCTCTTCTTGTGCAGGGTGACTGGTCTTACATCCACCCCCTCCCTGTAATTTTCTACAGCGGCCTGTAGTGGAAGGGCAATCTGGTTCCCTCCCACACCTCTGCTTTCTGCACAGGCTATACAATAGAACAGCTTCCTTATATAATACTCTAAAGTGAGAGAGGGAAAGAAACTTTCAGTGCAGTCCCGTTTTGCTCACTCCAATGGGAGAATAGCTGCTGCTATATTCATACTGTATATGGTTACAATCATCCACATGATATGTTTCTCCTGACGAAGCCACGGCTGTGGCGAAACGCATAGAGGATTTTCCACAACAGTAACCGTTTATTGATTCCAAGTACTCGCTGATCATAACTTGTCAATTCTGTATATGCATATACAAGGTTTATGCTTACCAAGTTTAGGCTGAGCACCAATATCCATATATGTTTCGTATTTTTAATGTCTTTCATAAATTACACAATTTTAAGTGTCTGTGAAGGTTCTATAATTGCCTAAAAACCACTCCATGACTTTCAGCCCTTTGCCTTTGGAACGGTCTCTTTTGTCTACATATTGCTTTATGGGTGTGGCTGTAGGACCTTTCCCTGTAACATAATCTTATTACTATAGTGTGCATAACAGAGTTATAAGGAACCTGGTAAAATACAGCCTCTACAGGAGTAGGCTGTGTCAGCATTATGTTCATTGAGGCTGAAATTTTTCCTTTGTAAAAAGGGTGAGAATTTCAAGAGAAAAATGTTGGCCATGGTTAAACTTGGTGATGCAGTTCCCTTGCTGCAGATCGACGGGCCTGAACAATCAAACCTAACTACTACATCAAACATTCAGTGGCCGCTACCCCTCTATACCAATTCCTTAAATGGCTTCCGATTGCCCAACAAATGAAATAAAAAATGCTAACATACACAGCCATCCACAATTCTGCCCAAGTTACAACAACCGCTTCTCAAAACGTCACCCAAACCGTCCTCTCTGCTCCTCGCAAGACCTGCTCTGGCTCCCTTGTCACATCCTCCCATGCTCACCTGCAGGACTTCGTCGTAGCCTCTCTTATCCTCTGGAACTCCCTTCCTCAATCTGTCTGGCTATGTCCTACTCTGCCAGCCTTTAGGCAATCCCAGCCTTTAGGCAATTTATCATCCATTGAGGAACACCGGAATTGTAGATAATCTCAAACTGATGGGTTATTTGCAGCTGACTACTGGGAGGTGGACACTGGCAGAGAGCAAAAAAACATTGAAGGGCAGCGCCTGTGTTACCCCACCCCTAACCATCGTGCTTCAGTTACTAGTGTCCTAGAAGGCAGGACGATCTCAAAGTCCAGAGCCTTGGTACAGCTTCTGGTGTGACGCAGTCTCTGAAGACCCACTCTGTGAGTAGGCTCATGGATGATGCCAATGTTAATGTGGAATGTGACATTCAAGAACTAGGTTCTGGACTGTGCTGCTTTCCAGACCTGTGTATGCTTTGTCAGCCAGTTTCAAAGTGCTCTCAGGTTTCGGAGCAGTATTACAGCTTCTGGTGTACTCAGTCTCTGATGTTTCCCAGTGTAAGTACACCTCTGGATGTACAAGTATGTGGCCTGTGAGCACTGAGCTCTGCATTGTGGTGCTTTCTACAGTTTGTGTTCTGTCCTAGTTTGCTCCAGAGCATCCTCCAAGCCGACAGCAGTAGCATTATCCAGTGTCTATACACCTTCCTTGTGTATGAACCTCTAGTGGAGCTTATTACATGAACTTTGGGTACTAAGCTCTATATTGTGGTGATTTCCAGACCCTTGTGTACTGTCAGCCACACACTACTTTCCAGTTTGAGCTGTGGCACGGCCCTTGGAGTAACCCTGCCTTTGTAGGCTCTCTGAGTCGGCCTGTTTTACGGGAAGCATATCTCGAGATGTAGTCCTTTTGTACTGGACTCTTTCTTTTGCCACTTATTTGCTTTTGCACTGCAATAATATCTTGCAGAGCACTTTCCAATTTTAGAGTTGTGGCACAGCCTGTTGGCATTACCTAGTCTCTTTTATAACATTTATTATTATTATATCATTCGGAACTATATAGCGCCAGCAGTTTGCGCAGCACCTTAAAAATTAATGGGAGATAGTATAGTTGCAATACAATTCAATACAAGAAGCTTGGGGGGAGACCTGCTTGTGAAGCTTACAATCAAAAAAGAAGGGGCTGGCGGCACAATAGATAACTATGAAATATGAGCTGATGAAGAAAGTAAAAAGTAAAATTTTTAGGTGGAGGCAGGATAGGCTTCACTAAAAAAAAAAGGGGCTTTTTTGAAGCCTGCTGTGATGTCCAACACCATATAGAGGAGACTAGCATCCAGATTAGTATTTCTTTTAAACAGATTATGTTCTCTATTGAAGAATCTAGAACATTTAACCCATGCTCACCTTTGTAGGGCTGATAACCAAGTGGCCGTGACAAACTGGCCTGAAGATCAAACCTCAACTTTTTATTGGTGTTTGGAGTTGTTGCGGGTTGCGCAGTAAATTTAAAGGGTGTAGTAGTAGCTATAAGACAAAATACGACAAAAGTTAAAAAAACAAACAAAAAAAACCCGAAACCATACAACATGCATCTCTGCAGTACATGCAAATTTCCATCTGTGTTATCCCTTGACTGCAAGTTTAAAAAAAATACCTGTCTGCCAGAAATGCACTCCAAGCTTCCAAGTCCTGTTGTGGGCTGACGACACACAGGATTTTTGTAGACTTAGCCCTCGTTCACACCTGACCGTTTTGTAGCGCATTCTACGCTCGACGAACTCTCTACAAAACGCTCAAAAATATAAATCCTATTGTATTCAATGGTCTCGTCCCTAACGCGCTACAAAACAGCCCACGCCTGAAAAGGTACAGGTACTACTTTGGGCCGATTTTGCGAATCGCGGTAAAAAAAACGGTTGCGCATATGCAATACGCCTAGGTGTGAACGAGACCTTAGGCCTGGTTCACACCTGGGCGTTTTACAGCTCGTTCCTACGCGCTGTAAAACGCTCAACATGTGAAAAACAATGATTGCCTATGGGGATGGTTCCCACCTGGGTGTTTTACAGCACATAGGAACGCGCTGCAAAACGCCCTACGCCCAAAGAAGTACAGGAGCTTCTTTGGGGCGTTTTGCCGCGTGTTTCCATTGGTATTCCCGAGTGTGGATCTGGGTTAACAAAGCGGTAACCCCGAGCAACACTCGGGAATACAGCATACAGGTCTTACCTTGTCCGTGATCCCCCGCTGTGTCTTCGTCCCTTGCGAGCGGCCGCGTCGCAGGGGGGCGGAGCCGGCAGGAAATGTTTAAAAATGAAACTAAACTATTTTTTTAAATAGAGAAAAGAAAAAAAACAACAAAATCATACCGCCAGTGAAACGCGCGTTTCACTGAAAGAAAAAAAATGAGCATAAAAAAACCGCTCAGGTGTGAACCCAGCCTAGTCAGCCCTGCCCAGATCTCTTTTCCTGAGCTTCTCATACCAACACCCAATCCTATTCTCCATAACACAGACTAATTCTGTAGTCCCAAGATAAAAGACAAGTGGGGCAAATTAGACTCCTTTGAATAACACACAGGAATTGTGCACAAGACAGCTCTCAAATTCCGATTAGTAGTTTTTTGTATCAAAAGATGAACAAAAAAGAAAATTTAAAAAGAAAATATTAAAAATACCCCCCAAAAAGTTTAAAGTTCCCCGACCCCACGCATGCTAACTCTAAACCGATGAGTGAGCAATTCAGATTTTAAATGCATGAAACTAATTATAATATATATATATATATCCTCCAGCGCTGACTGGCAGAACGGACGGGGGAGGTACAGCTGGCTCTGCTTCTAGATAGGCAGAGCCAGCTGTCACTCACGTAGCTGGGCAAATCCAGACATAATTGTCGGGATCCGTTTCAGCTGCGGTATACTGAGCTTTGGGTCACGGGAGAACACTAGTTTGTGTCCTCCCGTTACCCTAAGGAGAACTATGGGGAAAAGGCCTGACCCCATAGTTCTCCTTTAATCACTGATAACACTAAACTGATGAACAGTAAAAGTGTTTTAATCGTCGCCTATGGGCGTTTTTTGCGATTTTGCGGGCGCACGCAATTTTAAGGCTTGACATGTTTGGTGACTATTAATTAAGAATAAATGTTTTATAACATAGGGAAACTTTTTTTTACATTTATGGTACTTTTTTCATTATATAGTTGAAAAAAAATAACCCGTAGTATTTAGTCCATCATGGGAGTGAGCTTGGAGGGGTGGCTACTTTAATATACTGAGGAGAGAGCAATGAGAGCCATCACTGCAGGCCCCAGGATCAATTTCCTAATCTTGGCTTTACTCCCTACTGAGTCAATGACATGGAACAGGCACACAGCCAGTGCAGTCTAAACTAAACTATTCGTGCACACTGTTTTTTTTGTCAATGGCTCACTAAGAACTGAAACAAGGAAATTACATAGTTTTGGTAAATCTAAAGAAGATTGTACAATAGGATTGTATAGTATAGGGCCAGCTGTAAACAGATCAGAGAAGCACTCAAACTGTGCAGGATCACCCACTGACAAGTTTGTAAATACCTGATGGATTCATGTTATTTTCCTCTGATTCTTCTTTGTGTAGTGAGATTTCGCTTGCTTCAGAATTCAGGTCACTCCCACATAGTAAACTTTCATTTGCATCCAGCACGTGTTCATCACTCACGTAGCTGGGCAAATCCAGACATAATTGTCGGGATCCGTTTCAGCTGCGGTATACTGAGCTTTGGGTCACGGGAGAACACTAGTTTGTGTCCTCCCGTTACCCTAAGGAGAACTATGGGGAAAAGGCCTGACCCCATAGTTCTCCTTTAATCACTGATAACACTAAACTGATGAACAGTAAAAGTGTTTTAATCGTCGCCTATGGGCGTTTTTTGCGATTTTGCGGGCGCACGCAATTTTAAGGCTTGACATGTTTGGTGACTATTAATTAAGAATAAATGTTTTATAACATAGGGAAACTTTTTTTTACATTTATGGTACTTTTTTCATTATATAGTTGAAAAAAAATAACCCGTAGTATTTAGTCCATCATGGGAGTGAGCTTGGAGGGGTGGCTACTTTAATATACTGAGGAGAGAGCAATGAGAGCCATCACTGCAGGCCCCAGGATCAATTTCCTAATCTTGGCTTTACTCCCTACTGAGTCAATGACATGGAACAGGCACACAGCCAGTGCAGTCTAAACTAAACTATTCGTGCACACTGTTTTTTTTGTCAATGGCTCACTAAGAACTGAAACAAGGAAATTACATAGTTTTGGTAAATCTAAAGAAGATTGTACAATAGGATTGTATAGTATAGGGCCAGCTGTAAACAGATCAGAGAAGCACTCAAACTGTGCAGGATCACCCACTGACAAGTTTGTAAATACCTGATGGATTCATGTTATTTTCCTCTGATTCTTCTTTGTGTAGTGAGATTTCGCTTGCTTCAGAATTCAGGTCACTCCCACATAGTAAACTTTCATTTGCATCCAGCACGTGTTCCTTTTTTTGTATTGATAAGCTTCCTCTTGATTCATGATCTGGTGTTTTGAAGCAAGAGGATTTTCTAGCAGGTGTCTTTATTAAAGATTGCTTGTGCTCATTATCTTTTGTGGTTTTAGAAAACCTGATGGAAATTAAACAACTATTATTTATAGAAACCGCAACTATCACAAAAGATACTGAATGAAAGCAGAAAAAATGGTTATTCTGGACATCGTATACTAAAACCATTAACTAAGTTATGCACCATACCGAGATTCAGAACTGCCCTATAAAACTAATGATGTAAAGCCAAGCCCCTATTAGGTGCAGGCAGGGCGCAGCAGGGGAATTCAGTCACAGCAACTGACATCGGTCTCTCCTCCCTGCTGGACACCGGCTGCAGCAGTCTGCATCCCCTTCAATCCCTTCTGCCTCTGCTGATACAGGCAGGGAGAGCAGTAGGGATCGAAGGGGACACAGACCGCAGCATGCAAGGGGGGAGCTGATGTGGCAGGCGGAACTGCATGTCCTGGGCATCAAGCAATAGGAATTGACAACTCCAGGCACCAGGGCGCAATTTCTTATCGGCATAGTGACCTGGGGTCTGGGATTTGTCCTGCTCAAATCATCTCTGAATTGGTGCCGACACTGTCCTCCCTACTGGAGGGTGGCTACTTTTGTTCCCTGTGGTCCCTGTGTAAAGTAGCCACCGCTCCAAGCTCACTTCCGTGATGGACATCAATTAGTGAAGTTCACTAATTTATATTGAGATTGTAGTCCATCACAGGAGTGAGCTTGGAGCGGCAACTATTTTACAACACACACAGGGACCATGGGGAACTAAAGTAGCCCCCCTCCAGAAGGAAGGTGTCAGAACGAATTTCGAGATGATTTAAAGGATCTACAGCCGAGTGATACACAAATAAGATACATTTTTGTTAATTAGGCTACCTAAATCTATTTTTAAGATTTAATTTCGCAGATTAGTCTCACTTTAAACTGGATTACTGCACACACCTGGAAGCGGTTGCTGCAGCCTAGAAGCGCCGGGTCCTATGACCTTCGCGCCCGGAAGTGACGTCAGACGCTCTGCGGACCCGGCCGGAAGTGCGCGAAAAAGCGTCACTTCCGCCTAATGACCCGTCTGTCGGAATATTCGTCCCGAATCTCCACGAGGGCCGCCGAACCAACAGACCGCCGAACCGGAGGGAAATGCCTGCTTCAGAGCTGCTTTGTACAGGTAGGAGCAAACACCACACACAGCCATTTAGAAGCAGAGGGCTTCACTCTGGGGGAACTCCCCTGAGTCCACCACACCAAAAAGGCCTAGTTGCCCTGCATACCCTTATGCAGGTAAACTACTGGCAATTGTTTTTTGGACAGTTGGGGCTGTCCTGGAAACCCCACCGTCATGGATACCCTAGGTCCACTGACCCTCTGCTGCACCCACGTCGGGGGGAAGCCCCTGCTCACTAGCACGTAGGCCTAGGAAAAATAACAAACGTTACGATGTCCTGCTCGGCCGGAGGTCTGCTCGGCCGTGTGTGTGTGCTAGGCTTGTGCTCCTTTTTATTTTGAGTGTGGGTGATGTGTTTCCTGTTCCGGTGGGAGGAGCCTATCTCTCTAATGCTGTCCTGGACGGTGACTAGAGAAATACATTTGTACTTAACATTATAAGAATAAGGACAAAAGGTTGCTTTACTTACCTAACATTCATTTTAGACACAGATTGAACCAAAACCCTTTTCTCTGATTTATTAGCCAGGATGCTTCGGCTGGCAGTGCTGCAACGCGCAGACTGTCTCTGACTGGCTGGTGTTTGTGCAGGGAAATCGAGTCCCTTCTGTGTTGTAGGACTTAAGATGAAGAATTTACTCTGTAACAATTTCTAAAAAGATGGAAAATATTTGAGCAAAACCGAAATACAGGTATACTTCAGACTTTAAGCAAAAGCGGGATACATGTTCTGCAAAAGTTAAGTAATCTTGGTGAACTAAGCCGTTACGCATATTGCTTTGAGTTGTAACTCAAAGATGGACAATGATGTTTAACCGCTTGAAGACCAGGTGTTTACACCCCCTTCCTGGCCAGGCCATTTGTCAGTGTTCAGCGCTGCGGTACTTTGACTGACATTTATTACGTCATGCAACGCTGTACTGAAACAAATTTTATACCATTTTTTGGGGACAGACAGAGCCTTCTTTTAGTGGTATTTAATCAGCACTGGGGGTTTTATTTTTTACTATATTCAGGAGAAATTACAGAATTTTTTTTTTACATTATGTTATAAAACAACTAATATTACCCACTTTTTTGGTAAAATATAAAAGACGGGGTCACGTCGGGTAAATCGACACCAAACATGTCAAGCTTAAAAATTGCGCGCACTCGCAAAAAAACTAGCATACCCAAAATTGGCCATAGGCGACGCTTTAATAGCTTTTACCGCTCATCAGTTTAGTGTTATCAGTGATTGATGGCCCTAGAACTATTGCTCTCATTCCGACGTTCGCGGCGATATGTAACATGTGCGGCATAATGGGCGCAATCGTCGTTTAAAATACGCCAGTTCTGATACAGATTACTGTGCCCAAGTAAATAAGGGGTGTTTGACAAAATTCCCTACAGCTGTTCCATTGTGTACAATCAACAAAACAGCACGGTCACCTGGTCAATAAACAATAAAAATCTAGTTAGCATAGGTGTGTTAAATAACATCAGCTAAAAGAATGCAATACATGAGAATACACCCTAAACATACCCTTGTATGCTGATAAAAAGTTTGGTATCTCTTCACCCAACACAACCCTATTTTTTATACTTTACCATAAAAAATGGGTAGTATATTTTGTTTGTGTGCAATAAAACTGATTTTGGTGTATTAAAACATTTGCAACTTTTGTATACAAAGCGTCTGCTTCAGAAAGTATATAAAATCGTTTGGGAATTTTAAGCAGTCAGAAATTTTGATTTTTATGTGTGTACAACATTTTTTTTTAAATGCTCGAGTCCAGGCAAACAGCGGAGTATACACTGAAATACACAAGGGAGCTGTATTACCTGCTAAAGTATTTCTGTCCATTCAGTTCTGAGATCTACACAGCTCCTTGTTAGCACATGCGCACTGCCTGTTTGTGCCATTTTCCCTTTTCCCACTCTAAGCTTTTCAGTACAAGCATTGCAAGTGACTGATACCAAGGCTAATTTTTCCGTACTACCACTACTTGCGCATTATATATATATATAGATCTAGCTATCTATCTATCTATCTATCTATCTATCCCCTCTAGAATTTCTCAGTGCCACTATTTTTTGCTTGCGGTTATTCTGTAGTTGTGTGTTCCATTTCTAGCTGGCTGCCATTTTAGGATAGTTTAAAAGGATGAGAAGTTTTATACACTTATGAATTTATAAAACCTGCAGAAACTTTAACAGTGACAATCTCAATTTTTGTCCTTAAATAGTTAGTCAGGTTGGAAAAAAAAAAAAAAAAACACAAGTCCATTGAGTTCAGCCAATAAAGATGAGAGCGAGAGAAAAAAAAACCCCCCTAAAAAACAGATCACTATACCCACAGTTACCCACTGTTTATCCAGAGGAAGGCAAAAAAAAAAAAAAAAGAAAAAACCCTATTAAGCATAGTTCAATTTGCTCCAACAGGAGAAAAAAATCCTTCCTGATCCCATGAGGCAATCAGATATTCTCTCTTTTACTATGTGTCAATATAATGGTTACAGTTGGACCTGCTCATATTTCACACACCTCAAAAAAAATGACAAATATGTATCTATTTATAACTAATACGGCATGATCTTTTCAGTCTTTAAAATCACCTTTGAACTACTGATTGGAGTCTTCTCAGCTTGTGTCAACAGGTTGGATTTCATTGCCATTATCTGCATATAAAAACAAAGCATTTTAAATGCTGGCTTCTGCCAATAATCACATTGTATAAAGTCCCTCCTACATGGTGTATCCTACACAAAAAATGGTAGGCAAAAAAAAAAAACCTGTCTAACCACTAATGTTAAACACAGAGGTTTTAGATACGTCTTCTGCAGAATATGTGAAAGCCCCACTGCCTCGTCAAGGCCCCTCTGTGTAGTGCGGTCCCAACTCTAACCTATGAGAGTCTCCATCTTGGAGCACATGTAGCAAAAGATAAAATTGGGTGCAAGTTCGCCACGAGGCAGCCCAACCTCCTTAACGGCTCCCAATTTTAGACAGGTGGCAAGTCCATTAGCACAACGCTGTGGAAAAAGGTAATGGTTCAAACCCTATCTGTAAAAAAAGTCAAGGCAACTGGACTTGCTGTATTTTTCTTGGACGTTTCACTGGTCATCCAACCAGCTTTCTCAATTCAGAATGACTTGTACAAAGATTCTCTGGGAATAAATAGGTTTGACATCTGTTAGACAGGTTTTTCTTTTGCATACTGGCTGGTGAGTGTGCTGGGAAACGTTTTGCTGTTGTACCATATAAAGCCCTCCAATGTGCACCTTGCTGTAAAGCTGGTGATAAGTTGATGAGTGCGTTTGCCATTTGTTTTGCTTGACTGATTTGGTGCAGTGACACACTGGGGGTCTCCGCTGCCGTTGTGATGTGTGGTGTCACTTGCGTGACCTTGTGCCTTTAAAAGGAGGTTGGGCTGCCTCCTGGCGAACCTGCACCCACTTTTATCTTTTGCTACATGTGCTCCAAGATGGAACCTGTCATAGGTTAGAGTTAGGACCGCACTACACAGAGGGGCCTTGACGAGGCAGTGCGGCTTTCGCATATTCTGCAGAAGACGTGTATCTAAACCTCTGTTTTTAACCTTAGAGGTTAGACAAAAAATGTTTGCATGCTGGCGTGTGCTGGGAAACTTTTTGCTGTTGTAATGCAAATTAAAATTATAAAGTGAACTATAATGGTCTCCGCAACATGAGACTGTCTGTCGGACATAGTGGAATTTGTCACACTATGGATGCGAGAACAGAACATTTTGGATTTTACCACTCTTGCCAATAATTTGCCACATTTATTTCCTCCTTTGTAGTATACTTCAATGAGCAATGGTTGATTTTATATTCCAGGACAGGTTGGAGTGCCTTTCCTATATCAGTCAGTTCCCACTACATGTGCTGTGCTTGGCATTCTTTGCGTTGAGAACATAACATAAGCCTCATCTTTTTCAGGTAAGGGATATTAGTAGGGATGTCCCGATACCGATGCTAGCATCGGAATCGGGCCAGATACAGGGCATTTTGACAAGTACTTGTCAAAATGCCCCGATACATAGCGCCGAAGCTTGCGCTATGTTTTTTTTCTTCTTACTTACCTTGCCGAGCGTTGCGTCACTGCTGCTCCGGTGGGCGGTGCTCCAGGTGGGGTCCTAATTTAGGTGGCCGAAGACTGCCAGGTGACCCCGCTCGGAGCGCCGCCCACCGGAGCAGCAGCGACGCTCGGCGAGGTAAGTAAGAAGAAAAAAAACAAAACCCGCAGCGCCGAGTCAGCTCTGGTCCGGCGAGTTGAGCTCCAGGTGGGGTTCTAATTTAGCTGGCCGGCACCTCTGAGCCAGCTAAATTAGAACCTTTCCCTTTTAAAAAAGTATCGGTAATTGGTATCGGCAAGCACATGAAGGGAAGTACTTGTACTTGGGCCTGAAAAAGTGGCATCGGGACATCCCTAGATATTAGTGGGGGGTTTTTTGAATGAGAAACCATAAGATGAAATCTGTAAGAGCTGAACAAAAGGAAGACAAAAAACATTGTGTTTAGGTGTTACTGGGTCTAAAGCTGCTCATTGCTATATGCTGACACTAGTTAGAAAGTGTGCCCCATCTACTTACAACAAATGTGTCCACTTCATTAGGTAATATGTTTAACATTTAAAATCCTAAATATAATTTTTCATAGAAGCAGATTATATGAACAGATACCATTATTGTGTTAAGAATTTAAATTCTGTACCTTGACTTCATCAATGGAACTGCTCACAGCATCCAAACGCTTCTGCTTTCTCTCCATGTATTTATCTATAGACTCCATTTTCTTGAAATGAGCTTCATGTAAACAAAAAGGTAAATAAATACAAAATTATTCTTTAAGGATTTACGCTAGAAGAAACTTGAATATATTCCGCTATTCAAAAATACCCCACTGTGTGTAACCTACAATAAATAATGACAATGTTGCCAAACCAACAAGGGTTAAAATACATTTCTGCATGAATCAAAGAGGCCCTATACAGAGCAGCGCTGACTTTAGGAAGTGACTATGGGGCATGTACATTTCCAACATGGGACAGGGTGATCCATAACAAGCTATGTTATGCATTTATCATCTGGGTCAAGTGTCCCTTTACAATCCCCATCGTAGATCCAGGAAACAGAGTTCCTCAACTCTGTCGAGAAGACAGGGATGTTGTTTAAGGAGGGGGGAAAGGCGACAATCAGGTTAACTTTATCACACAAATCACCGGGGTATCCACTGCTATGGCTAGAGGGTCCCTAGATCTGGAGACAAAACTTGCTCAGTATGTCATTAAATCTAAAGCCAGGAGATCCACATCCCCCACTTGAAAAAAAGAGGTCTTGAAACACCTTAAGGTGAAACTACTCTTTGGTAGTTTTCACCTACTACCGTGTTTCCCCGAAAATAAGACACAGTCTTATATTTTTTTTGGCTCAAAAAAACACACTAGGTCTTATTTTTGGGGTAGGTCTTATTTTTTTAATTTACAACAATCCACACTTATTCATGTAGAAAAGTCTACATGTATTCATGTACAAAAATATGGTGATCAGGGCAATCACGGGTGCTGTACCTTTCCAAGAGCAACTTGCTAACCAATCACTGGCCAGAATGAGCGAAGCTTTCACAATGGATTCCTCACAGGCGGAGTGCATTTTGTATCAGTCTGCCTGTGACAGGAACCGGCGCTATAGAGGCATTGGCTTATGCAGCTCTGCTCCCTCCGGTGCTGCCTCGCTTCCTCTAGCGCTGGCTTCATTGGCACCGCTGATTCTCTCCTGCCTCTCCCGGGGCTCTTCAAGTTCCCCCTTATGCCACCACCGGCCCTGGGAATGGTCACAACTAGGTCTTATTTTTGGGGTAGGTCTTATATTTTAGCAAGTCCCACAAATAGTACTAGGTTTTATTTTCGGGGTAGGTCTTATTTTCGGGGAAACAGGGTATAGTCCGGTCATGCTGACTGGTGACATTTTTGACTTTTTTTGAGACACTATCAAATTTTTCTAGTCCTGATGATAACTAATATTTATATTTGACATGGTATTCAAACCATATAACATGAAGACCTTCATTAAAGATTTCTGAGACTTTATGTATAATTTAGTTGCCGTCCAATACACACTGCTGCAAATCTACTGGATCCAAGATTCATTTTGTTTTAAAAGTTCTATTGGGTAATTAGTTGTTCACAGCTTGTAATAATTGTAGTTCTACTGCTGGTTACGCATCCAAGTTAAATCCGGTTGTTACCTTTACACAGACTTACTTGGTGTTGAAGATTTAGATCCAGCCTTAGATAAACGACCAGTGTGCCTTGGAATTTTTGTTGCTGGGGGTGAATTTCCTGCTGTAAGAAAACAAAAAAATGTTTAATGTTAGATTGTACAAAAAGTATTTAGCCAAAATGAAGGTGCAGCAAAATATTAAATATCTTGCATTTTCAAGATGAATAATTCAGCTCTAGAACCACTATAAAATGAGATCCATATACCAAAGCTGCAGATAAAGACTGCTCCTGTATGTGGAAGCATCAGTCTATCTGCAGCAAAAAAGAAAAAAGGCACACACACGACATTTAAAAGCTTACATTTTGATGCCCTTCAATTGAGCACCCTCAGTTTTGTTGCTTTTTTCCCCCCATAAAAATTAAATTGGGCTGTATAGTAATATTTCATGATACGCTCACTCTACACATGGCCTTTTCAAGGTCCAAGATATTTATTTTGGTGTGCTAGCTTCTTCTTGTTGCCCTCTACCTGGGTAGCTGGGATTTCTCACAGATACAACTAACTCTCCTCCACACAACACAATTAGGCTCTCATTGGACTGCACAGGAACCGAGCTTACACCAAAAACAAGCTGGACTTCTAGGAGTCCAGAGAATGTGATTCTAAAAGACAAGAACAGAACATACTGATGCTGCTCAACCAATTTAAGTGTGCATTAGTGCAGGACCATTAACTAAAAAACAAGGTTCAATGTTGATTTATGTATGTTAGAAATAGATAAAATTAGAAAAGATAAAAAAAGTGAAGTGTTGAGACACCCGATATATACATTCTTTATGTTACCAGAGACTCACATTTACCAAGTAGTAAGGAAAGCCCTGGGACTAAACCTTAAAGTATAAGCCAGCAATGTCTGCTCCTAAATTTCTATCTTAACAGTTCCCAGGATGAGATGCATCAACTTTTAATCTAACCTGCATGCATATTAGATACAAATAAGAAAAAGGCATATATGCAACATACTTTGGCCGAGTTTCTTTTTCTCGGAAATCACATCTTTAGGCCTTTGGCGCTTCCTTTGCCTCCTTGCTGAGCCAGGCCTGGCAGATTCTTCATCTTCTTCATTGTTATTTTCCTAAAGATGAGAATAAGCATAGAAATAAGCATCATGCATTTCTATGCATTATACCAAAAGGGTATTTTTTTTTTTTTTTAACACATACAATAAATAGACTATCTAAACATTAGTTTGTAAAGGTATACCTTTCAAATTCTAAAAATGGATAACCAAACTTTGGAAAGTGAAGACAACTTCTGAGCCAATAAGCAGCATAACAATCAGTTTCTAGATTTTATTACCTAAAGTGTGGGTACTATCCAATGTTTATAATGCAAAGGTGTATACTCTGTACTAGTTTTTATGAGTAACAAAATGTATGTATGTCTGGGCTTCAGCTTGTATAAGAGCAGTCTGTAAGCAAGCTTTTACAAAGCATTTGCAGGGCTTTTGGCAAGCTTTGTTGAAGCCACACTGAAAAGCTTTGCTGTGGGTACAATGAGTGATCAAAGAGCCACCTTAAAACCTTCCAAAGCGCTAGAATTCACTGATGCAACCACATCAACTCAAAATAATTTTGTTAAGGTGTGGATGGAAGATTAGGTAGCTGCTTCTCATACCTAGAAAATCAAACCCTGGTGTTGAATGGTGCAGAAAGTACCCACTTTCCTGGTACAATGAACAGTGACTGGAAATGAGGAATCCTGTTTTTCAGGGCATAACCCCGAGATATTCTCTGGCAAAATCAATCTAAAAATAGTCTCACCAGAAGCTAGAGCACAATGGCTGTTTCCATTCCTTAGACAGCAAAATGGTGATTAGGAAAGACCTCAGCAGAGCATTTTGGTCTGTGGAAACCAAAACGTACTGACCTTTCTTATGAAAAAAAAACAAACATATGGAAGTGGCAGATTGAGCTCAAGTGTCTCAATAACCACTTGGATAACTACATGGCATTTTTACGACAAGAGGAGGCCTCTAAAATCTCCTCTTTCCTCAGAATCAGAACAAGCATTCATTCCATGCATTCAAAAATCTGTGAGGCTGTGAACCAGGGAAGGAGGGGGACACTTTCTGAAACTAACACCCGACTGGTCTAACACCTTGGTGATTGGAGACAAAGTGTTCCATATGGGCCTGTTCACACGACGTCCGTATTCTGTGCTGACCTGATCTGTACGCTCCTGCACTAAATATGCATCCCAATGTATCCCTATGCGTTTTATGGGCTACAGTTCTCATGTGCGCAGTCCGTTCCTGACTGAAAAAATACTGCATGTCACAATTTGTCCGGTCAGGAAACGCACGAATGCGTCAAAAACGCAACGAAAACGGAACGCAATGCAGCTAAGCAAAAAAAAAAGTATTCTTGCTCCACTTTTTATGATATCATCGTTGGACTTCCTGGTTGTGGCGGAGCATCAGAGGAAAAACCAGCAGGTTGGGGTAGAGGTAAAGACATGAACTGCAAACATTTGGAACATGTCCATTACCTTTCCATGGACATACGAGTAAAGGAAAAAAAAAAATGTATCCGGGTAAGCTCGCAAATCCTCATATAAACTCCAGAACTGACCCTTGGAGTCCCGGAGCCTCCAGATTGGGTATACCCAATAACGACGTCTCCTGCGGGCTCGTTCTCTGCAGATTGCTGTAGCCAGTAGCACCGTGTCTGCAGACCCGCACCTGAAAATCATGTGAACAGGCCCTAAAGGTGGTCACTGTAAAACAGAAATGCCAGCTGCAGGTGCACGTTAAGGTTCTAAAGAGGGCTCTGAGGTTGAGAAGTTAGATAAACAGACCATTAATGTACGTTTTGCAAACGTGCACTTAGTTTTTGGATACAATTCTGCACTTTCTTTTTTTTTTTTTTTTAAAGAGAATTACCTGAATTTCTTCACACTTGGGCACCTGCTTAGCTTGGTCATGCTCATCAGCCTCCAGACTTATCACTGTAGAAATTAATTTATTTTGGATCTTCTTATTACGCTGACCACGTCGGTCAGTAACATGGCATGCAAGTTCTTCCTTTACCTCGCAGCTCTGAGATTCATCTTTATCACTCAAAGTGCAGCTGCCATCTGAGTCCTATTTGTGAGAAGAGACACAAAACAGATATGAAATATTACAAAATCAGTTATCTTGCTTCATATTGTAAATATTTTAAAAAGTTAAGTGGAGGCCAAATAGGACACACGGGTGAATGATTGAAAATCTTGCTGCACAGCAAGAAATGCAAAACAGCAGCAATGTGAGAGTTACGATTGGGGGTCAGGCATACAATTAATGGACCATTGCCCTGGTACAAACCCTGAGGCTGGGTTCACACCTAGGCATACGGAATATCCGTGCTTGCCGCGCGTTTCGACCGCAATTTGCGGTAAAAGAAACGCGCGACAGACGCGCATTTCCGAGGGTTATTCGGCTGTATCCTAATGGATACGCGCGGCAAATACGCCCCAAAGAAGCTCCTATACTTCTTTTGGCGTAGGGCGTTTTGCAACACGTTTCTATGCGCTGTAAAACGCCCAGGTGGGAACCATGCCCATAGGCAATCGTTGGTTTTCACATGTTGAGCGTTTTACAGCGCGTAGGAACGTGCTGTAAAACACCGAGGTGTAAACCAGGCCTTAGGCTAACCACAAATTATGCACATGTACCAAGGATGATGCCAAACGCAGGGTCCAATGCATTAAAGGCCTGCATCATTATTCTGGCAGTGTCTGGATATGGATGTTTCAGAGAGCTGCTGGAGGTGACACAGCGGCTAAGAGCAGCATTATAGAAATTTGCTAGAAGTCTTGCAAAAAAAAAAATCTCTGTGGAAATGTGCAAAAGAGTATTTCTCTCAGATCAGAGCAGAGAGAAGGCATCGCCTAAAAGACACTAGCAAAAAACAAAACCGAGGCAGGCTGGAATTGGGAGGGTTATGCAGGGCTGTCCATGGAAAAGACACATCTGTCTTATGTAATTATCAGAATACATCATAGAGCATTTAACAAATCAGAGTGTATATACTTACTTCACTCATCTGCTCTGGCAAGGCATCTGGATGAAAATGCTTTTTCAAAGCCTTGAGTAATCGATCTGCCTTTAATTTCAAAGAAGAAAAGGTAAATAAAAAGGGAAAACACCTCAGACTACCAACACTTAATGAAAATTAACTGTAACAATACTAATTGAACAAAACAAACCTGCAGGAAATGTTTTATTTTTTTTTAACTTGTACATCCAGTCAGACCATAAGATAGCTGTGCCAGGTACCTCATGGTTTAAGGAAACATTTATAAAATATAGGGATGCACGGATACCAGTGCCCATACTTGGCATGTTCATGAGAACTACCAGGGTTGCAGAGGATGCAGCTGGGACCTGGCTGTCCACCACCGTCCTGAAATCATTAGTCTATTTTTTTTAGAAAAACCGTATCGATACTTGGGCTGGAATTTTTTTTTTATCAGTGCATCCCATATAGATATATATCTATATAGATATATCTATACATATATACATACACACCAAATCATACATTAAAACAGAGATGCACAAATCCCGGGAGCCCTAATCCCTCTCCGATCCATCCAAAACATATGGCTTTAAGTTACCGGCTCCTGCAAATGCGAGAAGAGCGTATCAAGCTTGCGGAGCCAATATTTCATGACAACCCTTGTGGTGTCCATATTAATGAACAGTGAAAACTCACAGATTTGCGTGAGCTTCTCTGCCATTGAGATGAATGGGCTGTCATAGGCACAACGAGTCATCACATGCAGGTACACACCAGGGGTATGCAACCTCTTCCTTCCAGCTGTGGCGAAACTACACATCCCATCATGCCTTTGCAAGTCATTCCTATGTCTCAGTCGTGCAATGCCTCATGGGACTTGTAGTTCCACAACAGCTGTACTGTCTAGATTGCCTACCCCTGGTATACGATTGTAAATAAATGAAACCACTAAAACTATACGAGCAATCCACATCGCGAACACACATTACACCACCGCAAACACCCTCCATTCCCTACGTGAGAATGGCTGACAGAGATGAACCAGATGAGTCCTCCCGCTCCATGCCATCGCCGTACTCCATGAACATCCTCCATACCGTCCTTCTCACCTTTAAATTCGCTTTCAGTCCGGCTTGTTTCGCCAGCTTTTGTAGCTCCGAATACTTCAGTGTATCCAGCTCCAGTACAGATGGCACCTCCATGGTTCTGCGCCCACCGACCAGCCGACAAACGATGTGATCTACAGACAGATATCAACAAACACTGACAGGAACACTTCGAATCCGGCGCGCGGCTCCCAACGGCTCTCATTCAAAGTCATTCGCTCGAGTTTACTATTGGATGGGAGGTGCGTGAGACGCGGCGCGATCAGCCAATTAGCTTCCAAGGCAGTAGCATCTTCCCGCCCATTCTGGCTGCTCCTCGCGATACAGTTCTGTCGAGAACGCCGACCATAGCATCTGGGCATGTGCACACTTGATAGACCAGGATAAACGAGAGAACAGGCATTTATTTACAAAGAATTTTGTTCTAATGGTTAATTGTGACCAGGGCCGGCCTTAGGCCTTTAGGCGCCCTGTGCGAGAAAGCTTTACAGCGCCCCTCAGTGACCACACCCCTCAGTGGCCACACCCTTCAGTGGCCACACCCCCAGTAACCACACCCATTTATTACCCATATTTTTGGTAAAATATAAAAAGCGGGGTCACGTCGGGTAAATAGACACCAAACATGTCATGCTTTAAAATTGCGCGCAACCGCAAAAAATGACCATGCCCAAAATTGACCATAGGTGACGCTTTAAAAGCTTTTACCGCTCATCAGTTTAGTGTTATCAGTGATTGATAGCCCTACAATTATTGCTCTCATTCCGACGTTCGCGGCGATATGTAACATGTGCGGCGTAATGGGTGAAATCGTCGTTTTCACACGTATGTGCACCCGACGCCTATTTGCATGTGTGTATGTATGGGGGGGACTTTAAAATAAATGTAATTCTTTTTTATTTGTAACTTTACATTTTTGGGGGGGAAACTTTATTGCTATCACATAGGGGGGTTAGAAAACCCCCTTATGTGATAGCAAAATATGTGACAGGTCCTCTTTATGGAGACGTCAGGGGTCTCCAAGACCCCTAATGTCACCTAGGACCCCCCTGAAGAAGCTGATGAAGCAAAGATGGGGACACATAGTACTATGTAAACAGAAACAGGAACCATACCGCACTCCTTACCGGGATTCCCACTTGATGAAGATGGGTGCTCGAAATGACTGCGGATGGCACCGCCACATATGAACAGTAGAAAAATGTCACCACCACACCATGAGTTGAAAAAGCAAAATATTTTATTGCCAGTAGCTGTATCTCATTGGCAAGCGCTTTAGGGGCCTCGCAGGGTCCCCCATATCGGATGGCCAGCGCCCAGCGGTGAGGGGGAGAGAAGCCGCCCACAGGACGAGCTGTGTCGGCCGCACGGCGCCCTTGTTGCCATGGCGCCCTGTGCGGCCTCACTGCTCGCACACCCCTAAGGCCGGCCCTGATTGTGACGGTTAATAATATGCCACCCGTGGCAGTAAATGATGGATGCCATTTTATGTACATTCCAAAATAATATCGTAAGCAATTGCATAATGATGTAATTGCTTACAATGTTAACTTTGAATGTGAATAAAATGCCATAAATAATTTATTGCCACGGATGGCATATTATTAACGGTCAAAATGAACTACTACAAACTAATACTTAGTAAATAAAAGCCTGATTCCTCCTTCATCCCACTCTGTGTGTGTCATGTAATTTTTCTCCTTGGCACGTCAGCTTGCGAGAGCTCGCATAGCTGAGCGTGCTGAGATGAAAAATTTAATTTAGAATATGAGAAAC